CCCTCTCCCTCTCCCTCTCTCTCTCCCTCTCCCTCTATCTCTCCCTCTCTCCCTCTCCCTCTCTCTCCCTCTCTCTCTGCCAACTCCATTCCCTCTTCCCCCTCTGAGCTCTCAGGTTGTCCTGACTCTCACGCCTCCTCCTCCTCCTCCTCCTCCTCCTCCTCCGATTCTGCTGCTGGGAAGGAGCTGGAGGCCACAACAGCTACATCTTAGGAAAAGCTAAGCATCATAAAGCATGTAGAGAAAGATGACTCTTTTGGTTTCTTTCCATGTCTCATTCATCCTGTTCATTTCAGTGTCTCATTTCTTTTCTTTTTTTAATAAATAAATTTTATTAATTTTACAATTAAAACAAACCAACAACACATACACAAATGAAAGGAAAGAAAGAAAAAGAAAAAGAAAAAAAAGCAAAAAGAACGAAAAGAAGATAGACAGAAAGAATAGAAACCAGAGTCCTTCTTGTTAGGGATCTTTGACAAACAAATTTCCAAAAAAGCGAAATACATAACAATACACATCTTAACAGCAGCCAGACTAGCCTTCGCCCAATGTTGGAAACAGCCCCAGGCGCCATCAGACTAAACAAAAAAATCTCAAAAAAATCTCAAAGTGTGCAGAAATAGACAAACTAACTTTGGCACTAAAAAACAAAGATACCTCAATATATTACGATAGCTGGAACTGTTGGTACAATTGGATTGGCCGAAGATAAATTTTATACAATAAGGCAAAAGAGGACAGGATAAACCGATAGTAGATATATAGATACATGTAAAGAATAGGTGTGTGTATAAGGCATAAATTAAGGGTTATGAAGAAAAAAAAAGAGAGATCTTACAATGTGGAAAATGAGAATGTTTTTAATTGCTTTCTATTCTTTCAGTGTCTCATTTCTTTGTAGATGTGTTCAGTTACCTTTTTTTTTTTTTAAAGATGGTGCTAAAATATGAATGTGTGCTTGTTTATTTGCCTTTCTCCAAATGTGCGTTTGTCTGGCAGCATCTGCATGTATTTTTCTGCCCACTAAGTTTACAGATATATGGATTTCTGTGCAGAGTTTTCTCCAGTGTATTTTTAATTACCATTACTGGTGAAATACACTGCAACATTTGGAGAAATGTGAATTTCAGTAACTGGTAATGACAATTGAAAAATATGCAAGGGAGAAAGTTTGGCTTGCTAATATGAATTAAGTAGTTTTCTCTCCTTTGCTAGTGGTAAATACCGTGTTTCTCATATAATAAGGCTGGGTCTTATTTTTTTTTGAGCCCCGAAAAAATGGCTAGGCCATCTTTTCGGGGGTGACTTAATTCCCCCCCTTGCATCTTTGGGCGGGCGGGCGGCGACGGCTTGGATGTTGACCTCGGCGTTGGTGAGGCACTTAGTATCGGGGTCAACGCCGGCAGCACCATATCCGGGTGTGCAACAAAAGTACTTCCTAACAGCAAGCCCCCCCCGCCATTTCCCCCCCCATTTCGCATATAGGCCTTAATTTGGGGGGAGGGGCTTAATTTCATTTCATGCCTATAAAACATGCTGGGACTTCCTATTGGGGGAGGCCGTATTGTTGGAGAAACAGGGTAGGACACCAAATAGAAACTTGGCATTCCAGAATAAATAAATAAAAAACCTTCTCACTAATACAAAGGTCATCCTTTCTTTTTTCCAGCCTGAAGAATCAGTAGACAATCATCCAAGAATGAAGTTCGACCTCTAATACTTCTTCAAACACCAGGGACAGATGCTTTTTTGGACAATGAGCACTTCCTATGTGACATCATACATGTTTAGCTAATCTTTGCTTTGAGCAATGAATGGATTTTACTTTTTATTTTTATTTTGTGGTGAGTAAGAAGATTCAGATGGATTTTTTTATACCCTTTGGAGATAGAGTCTATATATTCGACATAAAATCAAGAGTATGTTTTAAAATGTAAGATATATCACCCATCTTCGGAGGCCAATGGAATAAAGTATTTTTCTTTTTTCATATTTATTCCCTGATTTATTCAGAGAGTATAAGATCCTATGAAATTATCTATAATTGTGATGTAAGTAACAAGTCTTCAAAAAAATAAAAAATAAACTTGATATCTTCACCATACTCCTGCATGAGTTTTGTCATCCAAACAGAGTGAGAGAGCAAAGAAGGAAGAAAAACATTATTCCTGAGTAATGTAGAATTAATTACTTCTTCCAATGTTTGATTTCCAGTAAAGTTACTGAAAAGAAAGAAAACAGATAGGATACATTTCCGGCTGTTTGGTTATGCTTCCCTTAAGAGTGAATCAAAATAGTGAATTACAATGGAGTCAAAGTGAAAAGGAATTTCAGGAAAAACTTTAAACTATTTTTTTAAAAAATAATAGAACAATTCCCTGGTTTCCCCAACCCAAAACTGAACTTCTTGAGAGGGAATATTGAGTGTCCATTGCAGGGATGTCCTCAATAGTGAAGATGGGAGCAACACACACACACACAAAGTTGGGTCTTTCATCACATGGTTAAAGCTACCAAGTTGGGTTTCTTTAAACCTTCCTGACCTATTCGAGTAGAGTAGAGATAGAATAGAATAGAATAGAATAGAATAGAATAGAATAGAATAGAATAGAATAGAATAGAATAGAATAGAATAGAATAGAATAGAATAGAATAGAATAGAACAGAACAGTCCCTCCTCAGGCCAGATCTCCTATACATTTCAGACAAATGGTTATCCAATCTCTTCTTAAAAACTTCCAGTGTTGGAGAATTCATAGCTTCTGGAGACAAATTGTTCCACTGATTAATTGTTCTGTCAGGAAATTCCTCCTTAGTTCTAGGTTGCTTCTCTCCTTGATTAGTTTCCATCCGTTGCTTCTTGTCCTACCCTCAAGTGCCTTGGAGAATAGCTTGACTCCCTCCTCTCTATGGCAGCCCCTGAGATATTGGACCACTGCTATCATGCCTTCTTTTCATTAATGGAAGAATGGAATGGAAGAACAGAAGGTGCGACACTGTTGGAATCAAGCTGTCTTGCTTGAATGGTTGGAAGGAGAATTTGGTTGATGGGGAAGAGATCCAGTTGCCTTTTGGGAAAAGCACCTTTGGGAATTACTTTTGTTATCCAGGCTATCCCAAGATGGCTCCTCTTCAGAAGATGATTGTCTCAGAGTCTGTAGTAATAGTTTCTTAGTTTATGTAGATGTCAAGAGCTCTTTCAAGCAAGTCAACAGTAAGTAAAGGATTAATAGATTATCTGCCCCAGCTAATGTAAGGCTTCAGTTGAGATCATGGCAAGTTGGCCCAGCCAATAGCTTTCTGCAAGGTAACTTTTAAAGTTTTTCTAAGTACTTGTTCTGCCAAGACTTTGATTTCCATGTGAGTACTGATCCTTAGCTTGTTTTTTAAAACTAATTCACCTTACGTTAAAAAGTCGGCATATTTTTATTTAAATTAAAAAAAATTACTTTATCTTTCTGCCTATAGTAAGTACCCTGCTTACTATAATGACCAAGGCGATGACTGAAAATCTATTCAGAAAAATCTTCTGCTTTATTTGTTCTTTTGAACAGCTAGCCTGCAAAGGTGCACTCTAATCTTGCTGTCACTGTTATTGATGACCTATCTTTTATTTATCTTGGCTGATCTTGCAGGGGAAAAAGACAAGCAGAATGAAGCCACAGAACATCCTAAAGCTTTAAAGTCAATTGGGAAATTATGTCCATGTAGTCCCTAGGCATTCTTACCATTTTCCCCCTTGGATCATTACATTCTCGTTTCAGAACTACCTATATTATCCACCTTGTGTCAGAAGATCCATCCAATTAATCTTTGCCAACTTTGGGACCTGAATATATATATATATATTATGGAGATAGATAGATAGATAGATAGATAGATAGATAGATAGATAGATAGATAGATAGATAGATAGATGATAGATAGATAGATAGATAGATAGATAGATAGATAAAGATATGGAAGATAGATAGAAAAAGATATAGATAGATAGATAGATAGATAGATAGATAGATAGATAGATAGATAGATAGATAGATAGATAGATGATAGGTAGATTGATTCTATCTATCTATCTATCTATCTATCTATCTATCTATCTATCTATCT